AGGCAGCCGTGGGACCCAGGCTTCCTGACTCTCAGTCACCACTCTTCCTGCACTCCCTGCTGTCCCAGTCCAGAATGGGGACACTGTCAGGGAGCGAGCAGCCCGAGTGTGAGGCTTACACAGCAGAACTCTGGCCTGGGTGCAGGAGAATGCCCCGGCCTTTGCCACCCTCTCTTGCGCCTGACTTTGGGGGGCCTCCCGGCGAGGTTGGGCTGCCCAGGACATTGGTGAGTGGACCTTAGCCTTGCATCACCTGGCACAGTGCAGACTCCACTCAATGCCACCGTCTCTTTCTATTTTTAGCTTACTTCCCTGGGCAGCCCCAGGAAATAGCACACATGATGTTGTCTGGCTTCCGAGGCAGGAGACGGGCCTGGATATAGAAGAAGACTAGAAGGAGCAGAGGCTGCCTTCTTGGGAGATGCTGAACCTCTCCCATGAAGGACAGCAGCCTCGGGGTGGATAGGTGGAGATGGTCTGGGAGGAAACAGCCCAAGTCCTATAGGGTGACCACTGATCCGGAAAGATCTCTGAGTAGCAGACTAGATCCTATATGGCCTGCAGTCTCAATGTAGCATTAGGGCCTAAGAGCTCATCTGGTCTTATCCACTCATTTCTGTAAGAAGGAAACACAGGGGCCACGAATGTTCCCAAGGTCACACAGCAGCCTGGACATGGTGGAAGCAGAACAGCCTTGAGGCCAGGGTCAAGTCCATCAGTGAGTCATCACGTGGACTCCTCAGTCCATTTCTCACTCGTCAACAGCAGCGTTCACAGCTAGAGCCTAAGTACGAAACTCGCACACCACCAGGGCAGCGATTGCATCTTCCGTCGGAACCGACAGAGCCATGGGATGGGGGCGGGGCAGGGACTAGGGTGGGTCTACCATACCTAGCACAGCACCTGGCATGCAGTGGGAACTCAGTTATGTCTGTCGAATGCTTAGATACAGATGGGAGGCGTCTGGGTTGCTGCTTGTGAGAGTCTGAAAGGGAAAAGCTGGGGCAAGGGAATGAATAGGGGATGAATATGAGAGAACAAACCACTGGGGCACATGATCCCCAAGAGCCGCCTCAATTCATTTCATTCAATTCAATTCAGTTCACACACCACAGATCCACTGTGGACTAGAAAGAGGATACTGGAGTGTTTCAGCCACCCGCTGCACCTGAGGCTTACGACAAAGGCACAGGCATGTCCTCCTGCCTAGTGTGCCTGGGATTTCCTGGGGTCACTGGGCTGGCGGGGAAGGGGAGAGTCATGTTTCTATGTTTATCACATGACTCAAAGCCGCTGGCAAAGTGGGGGTGACTTTACTTTGGATCAGTGGGCCCCTCCCAGAATTGGGAGGTACTTTTACAGCCATGAATGATTTCCCTCATTTACAGAGCTGATCTCCCCCATTCTACTGCCACCACCTGTGTGCACAGGGGCTACCTTGGATCCTGGCAATGCCCTTTTACCAAGATGCAGGCAGAGCAGTGTTTTGGGGGGCCTGTTGTCAGAAGTCTTCATTCTAATTTGGGGAACAGCAGAGTGGCCTCTCCCATTGTGGACATGCCAGTGGTTCCACTTCCAAGCTGAAAAGCACAAGGCAGTGCTAGCCATGGACCTGCTTGCCTGGTTGGAAAGAACACATGCTGGTCAGAGCAAAGAGTCAAGTCACTCAGGTCTGGGGACCTGGGCTGGGCCAGAGTGAGGCTCAGAGACAAGAGGGAGGGAGGGAGGGTGGGGAGGAGGCCCGCCGAGCTGCTCCAGCTCCAGGTCCTGGATGTCCCAGTGGAGGCTCAGGGCGATCCCGAGCCTGGAGGTAGGGAGGCTTTCCTTATACCTGCCCTGGGCACTTAGAATATAAATGTATGAACTTTCTAGAGCTCAAGGATTTTATTAGCAGGCTGTCTGATTGGTTCATTCTGTCATGAGACAGACACCGAATGCCTACCAAGTGGCCGATAATGTACCATGCATCTGGTATGCAAAGATAAACCGAAACCCCAAAACTTGGTCTCTGGCTTTCTGGGAGCTTATGATAGGGAACAAGATGCGTTTCTCCAATATGCAGGTTTTCAGGATGTTTCAATATATATTTTTATTTTATTTTATTTTTTTATTAATTTATTTTTGAGACAGAGACAGAGCATGAACCGGGAGGGTGAGAGAGAGGGAGACACAGAATCTGAAACAGGCTCCAGGCTCTGAGCGGTCAGCACAGAGCCTGACGCGGGGCTCGAACTCACGGACCACGAGATCGTGACCTGAGCCGAAGTCCGATGCTTAACCAACTGAGCCACCCAGGCGCCCCTCAATATATATTTTTAAATGTTTATTTATTTATTTTGAGAGAGAGTGCGCAAGCATGAACAAGGGAGGGGCAGAGACAGAGAGGAAGAGAGAATCCTAAGCAGGCCCTGCACTGTCAAGCACAGAGGCCAGCGTGGGGCTTGATCCCATAAACTATGAGATCATGATTTGAGCTGAAATCAAGAGCCAGATGCTCAACAGAGCCACCCAGGCATCCCAAGGTGTTTGAATATTTTTAATCAAGTTTTTTGCAAGGTCTCAGAGAAGTAGCCTGGGCCTCACTGTGCTGATGGGGAAATGGGGCAGGGTGGTGTGGGGGCAGTTGTCACCCATGCTCTGCTCTTCTGAGCCCCGGGATGTCAAAGGATGCTTAGGCTACCTGTCAACCAAGGCACATCCAGGGGGACTGCAAGATGACACCCAGTGATTCCACATCCCTTCCCTGAAGCTGTCTGGTGCTTTCCCCGCTATTTCCCCTGGGCCCTGGCAAAGAAATGCCATTTCATGCCTTCCTTCCCAGATGTATGCCCCGAGCCTTCCACCATTGCTCAGCTGATGTCAGGGACACTGGAGAGAAGGGCTAAAAATAGCTCTGATTTGATGCGCAGCTCTCGGGGTGAGCTGGCAGCTAGCCCCTCCACCTTTCCTTTACACAAAAGGCATTTCAGTTGGAGTGTATCTATGGGGGTTGTCAGTGGTGGGGTGGAGTGGGAGGGACAGAGGCTTCCAGGGCCAGCTAGGAAGTGGAAGTTTCTAGAGTCTGTGCTCATACTCAGAGAGAGCCCATGGCTCTCCCCCATGGGGCTGCTTGGGCACACACATTCCCCTGTGCCAGACTTGAGGGCCCCTCAAGCCACCTGGAACTGGCATCTCAAGAAGTTTTGAGGGAGGCTGCAGGTAGACTTGTGCATGGACACATGTGTATGTTCTTGTGGGTGTTGGGTGCACTGTGCTGTGCCTGTGATAAAGTGCTAGGGCCGAGAGGGCCCCTGGCTGGTGTAGCTGTGATCCTCCACGAGCCGGAAGTGTCTGACATCTGACAGCCCCAACAGATGTGCTTCTGTCTTCCTCAACTGTCCAGAGAGGGGCAGAAAACCTGTCTCATTGCAGCGTTGTCCTGCCACGCAGGTGGCTGAGTTTTCTCTTGTGTACAACCCAAATCTTTCCTGCTTTTTCTTTGAGCTCTTGGCCCCATTCCGGCCATCTACCTTGGGGAGTGTGCATTTCATGTGTTTGAAGCTAGGGTTGCAGGCATCTCCTGGCCAGATGAGACCAGTTTTCCATTAAAGCAGGGGCTACATCCACCTTAGCTCCTCTGCTGGATGTTCACCATGGTGGGCCGGGGCCACTGGGTGTACAGATGCCTGTCCTGGGGGTTCAAATCTAGCTGGGAAGCATCTCTGTACGTACATGACTTTGCCACAGTGTGAGCTTCAGACAGAGCTATGGTAGTGGAGGCGAGGGGCCTCCAGGTGGAAAACAGAGCCAAACAAACAGAGGCTTAAATTTGGCTTTCTAATTTGGGCATACCGTTTCATCCTTCTAAGCCTCAATCTCCTGATCTGTGAAATGGGGCTAATAGGTTATCTAATAATTGGGTTGTTGAAAGGAGTACATGAGACGGGGATGGAGGGGAAATGAGAGAAAGATAACGAACAGGAAGATATAGCGTACCGGGTTAGAAGCAGCCTGTCTGGACTCCAGCTACCCGGTGTGGATCCCAGTAGCTATGCCTTGGGCTTTCTCTTGCTTCAGTTTCTTCACTGTAGGCAATGTTAAAGTTTTTGTGTCAAATGACTTAATACGTGTAGAGTGCTTACATTGTGCCCGGCATGCAGGGGAAAGCCAATAAATGGGAGCTATTACTTTACTGGGGACTCGGTATAATGGGAGGATGCAGAGGAAAGTCATTTGACCTTGACATGGAGTAAGGCACGTGGCTACAGGGCCCTCCTGCTCCGACCTGTGGGCTGTGGACTCTGTGGGAAGGAACAGAGGGCCACACCTTGCTGACTCTCCAGGTGGTGGGGAACAGCATAAAGACATACAGACAGGCACACACCAGGGGGTCTGGGGGTGGAGACCCATTTGGTGCAGCCAGGGGGCAGGGAGCAGGTGTGGGAGAGAGATGGGGGAGGCAGGAGACTGAGTCCCTGGATACAGAGCCAATGGAGACCCACCCAAGTGACTAAACCTAGGTCAGCTTTGATTTCCTCATCTGTGAAATGGGAATGGTGATAGTGATAACCAGATAGAGGCTTGCAGACTGTTCCCTGATCATGTCTGCTGGTATCCTTCAGATAAGTAAATGATCTGGGAGAACTGGAAGGACTTTTGCTCTGTCCCACTGCCTGCTCTCTGCTCCAGGACCCCAGGGAACAGCCACAGGGTTTCCTGCTGGGCATGGAATCAAATGCATGCAGATAGCAGCACAGCTTCTATGCCATAGCAGCCTCAGAACTCCCCAGTCAGTACTTTCCTGAGTGGACCTGGTGACCCAGCTCAGCAATTCTCAGCAGGGGACAAGCCCCAGACAGGTGAGGTTTCCACACAAGCCCCCTGAAGGCTCCCCCACCCCTCCTTTGGCACATCCTCTCCTACGGCCACTGCATGGTCATCAGCCCTAGATCCTTCCTGTCCCGGCATGTGGTCAGAAATGGAAAGGACACCTGGGAGGCATCGCTGCCACCTCCAGAAGGATGGACCAGATGAGAATGCAGATCTTACAGTCTGTGCTTACAGTCCCAGCAGCTCTTAACACCTCGGCTGCTACCATGACAAGTCAGGATTCCCAAATCAACCAGGTAGAGGTGGAGGGAAAGTGGAATACGTGTGAACAGGGCTTAGAGGGGTACTTCGCGAGTTCAGATAGCAGTGAGCCCTTGGGGGCTTTGGTGGCAGCTAGCCCAGCTTTGTCCTTGATATTGGGGGCGGTATGTCATCGGATTTGCAAACCCCCTTACCCTCTTACTTCTCATCTGACTAGTATTACAGTGTCCCTGTTCTCTGATCTGGTTCACAGCTACTGAAGAGAGCTCAGGGCTTTGATGTGGGTTTGGCTTTGCCTCTGTCCTCTGTGTCTGCTCACCCATTCGTTAGGAGGCTGTGATGACAGTTAGTGGCCAGGAGCAGGAAGGACAGTGGGGGGGGGGCATGAAAGGAAGCACAGGTGGGAGACCACCCCCTCTGTGATCCAGGGTTGGCCGTGACACAGGGATGCCGTCATGTGCCTACAGGCGTCTGTACAGCTGGGGCTTAGGCGTGTGAGCCATGTACATTATATGGTGGTTTGTACATGTGTATCTCTGTGCTGTGCAGGGCACGGTGCATCTATGTAGTGTGGCTGTGTGGGTGTATGAATTTCATGTGTGGTTAGCATGTACACACCAGGGAAGTTTCTGTGCAAAGTGTGAGTACATTGTGGTACAGTGTGCATGCGTGTCTATGTGTGGTGCTGGTGTGGAGTGGGTTCTTGGGGGTGGTGTGTGTATAAAAACAGTTGCTTATGTGTGTGTGAGAGAGAGCATGTGTGCCACACGCACCCAGGATAAGAGTAAAGGTGCCTCATGGTGGTCCTGGAAGGCATGGTTACTTGTATCTAAATGCAACAAAAATATAAAGACATATTTTTTAAGAATAGCGAAGAGCTGTCCAGGTGAATGACTCTACTGTTACTAGTTTTAGAGAAGAAGTGTATCTTGAGTTCGAGAGCAGCTTTCTGAGTCTTTCTGGAAAGAGCTGGAACACTTCTTGGCCACGGAGGGGCCAGCTGTGGCCACCACACAGGCCTGGTTGCTGGTGGCTGAGGCGGCCGTGGCTCTGGGGGGTCACAGCCCTGGACGGGCATTGGGGGCTGAGTGCTGCTGTGGCGTTAGCCCAGACTCGCCTCTGGGCTTCAGGGCCCTTCCGGGTGAGCCAAGACCCTGTCGGTTGGGGTGGTCTTCAGCCTACTGGCCTCTCCAGCCTCCTCACCTCAGGGAGCACAGGAGCAACCAGGTAGCATGGCCACACAGATGGTGAGCTCTGAGGGCCAGAGGTGGGGACTCAGGCCCAGCCCTGCTCCCTCATTCAGTCAGCAGATGTTCTCCTCCCGTGTACTAGGTGCTGTGCCGGGGGGCTGGGGACACAATTTTGTTGCAAAGCTGGGTTCTCTCCTGGGCTTAGGGTCCCACAGGAGTGACAGGTCTTTTTGTTTTTAATTAATTAATTAATTAATTTTTATTTTTTTTATTTTTTATTTATTTATTTTTAATTTCTTTTAATGTTTATTTTTGAGAGAGACAGAGAGAGAGTATGAGAGGCAGAGAGGCAGAGAGAGGAGACACAGAGCCCGAAGCAGGCTCCAGGCTCTGAGCTGTCAGCACAGAGCCCGATGCGGGGCTCAAACTCACGGACCGTGAGATCATGACCTGAGCTGAAGTCAGACGCTTAATGGACTGAGCCACCCAGGCGCCCCTAATTAATTAATTTTTAAAGGTACATCCAAGTTAGTTAGCATATAGTGCAATAATGATTTCAGGAGTAGATTCCATTGATTCATCCCCTAGTGACAGGTCTGAACTACCACTCCCACACATACCCAGCAGCTGCATGGTCACCTGTACAAAGAAAGGTTCACAGGCTCTGAGGGCACACACGGGGGCAGCAGACCCTCGCTGGTGACACCAGCAAGTTCCATACTCAGCTTCCCCATCTCCAGAGGCGGGTAATAATGCCTGCCTCACGCAGTTGTGGAGGGGGTGTGGTTAAATGAGATGATGCAGGTAGCATCTCAGGCCTGGGGCACATTGAGTGAGTGGCTATTACAGTTCCTCTGACTTTTTGTGTTGTTGTTATACTATCCCCTGTTGCTGCCTCCATGTACCAACCCTGCAGATAATTCTGCAGTTTCGGACTTACAGAGCAATTAACAGCCTTTTGCAGTGAAGGGCTGAGGCTATGTTTGGGGGAGCAAGGGTGAGTGGACGGGTGTTTAGGGAGAGGAGTGAGGTAAGAAGGGCCAGAAAGGCAGGATGCTGTCCAGCTAGTGGGGAGAGGCTTTAGGCAGGGAGGGAAGACACAGGAGAGGGTAGAAAGAAAACAGGGCCTGGAGAGAGGGGCCCCTGGTATCATGAAGGCAAAGAGGAATGGCCCCCTCCTTGGGCTCTTCCCCATTGAGGTCTGCCTCCCTGCTGGAGCCACTGAGCCTCTACCATGCCCCCCCGCCTTGGTGTCTGAGGAGCCTGGTCTGGTGGCCTAGCCCTGTGGCCTCCTGGCAGCTTGGCAGCCAGGCCCAGGGCTGTGTCCTCGCACGACCTCAGCCTTGGCATGTCATTTGTACTGAGCCAATTGCATGCTGGTGCAGGGCCCAGGAGGACAGCCCATGTGCTGGCTTAAGGGAAGAAGCTGCCCTTCCCGTGGCTTGGTTGGAGAGGATCAGGGAGCCTGGGGCCGCCCCAGCTAGGGAAAGTGGGGATTTGCTCGCTGGGGATAGGTTCATCAGCTCATGGCTAGGGAAAATGTTATGGTCTCTGTGTATAAGTCTTGTACGTTCGGGGTACAAGCAGTGTTACTGCTGTCAACCAAGATGCGCTCCTTGAGGTGGCACACCAGTGGCTGCTTAGCCCCTGGGAGCCCCATGGGGAGGGCAGGAGCTGTGTTGTGTGCTTTTGTTTCAGCTCTGCCACCAGACTGCATCTGCAGATGCCCGTGAGGCAAGATGGTTGAAACTCACCGCCACTCTCCAACGCTGCCCGGTAGAACCTGGCCAGCTCTCCCCACCTGGCCTCCTCCTACACCTGTGTGTTGTAGGTGAAATGCAGGGTCTGCTGTAGCCTCCACCTGGCATATGCCCAGCAGATTTCTAGTGGCTTCCTGGGGTCACAGCCCTTCCCTCACTCGCATATGATGAGCCTTGGAGGAAGAGCCTTATCACAGTGACACCAGCTGGCCCTGAGCCTGGAGACTTGCACACAGAGGAGGAAGGCAGGCCTAGGGGTTTGGTACATGCAGTTGGAGCCCTGTCCGTGTGTCCACAAGACCCATTTGTACTTCCTGCTTCAATATGCCACCCTCGTCTTATAAGGGTCTTTCTTTCCCTTCCTAAGGGAAGTTTCAGGGACCGAGGCCAGATGGAGGCCCGAGGCACCATCTGAGGTGACCATCACTCCCTGGGTGGAATGTAAGATCCCACGAATTGGGTTCCTGAAGAAGCCAGGTGCTAGGTGAGTTGTGAGAGCTGGGCGTGCTAACACCGCCCTGCCTGGGTCCACTACCTAAGTAGATGGTAAGGCCCCTGGCCTCCCCCCAGCAGCTCGCTCAGCAGCTCATTTGTCCCCAGGGCCTCTGGGGGAGGCCTGTGGGGCCAGCTCTGCCTTAAATCCTTATAGCTCCTACACACTTAGCCCCTACCCAGGCTCAGGGCAGACCCTGGGGGGTGAGTCCATGCCCCCCCCCCACCCCCGGCCATTTCTCCTCCTACCCAGGGGTCCATCAGCAGAGTCTTGTCCTCAGTGGCCAGGTGCTCAGGGTCAAGCCCAGGGAAGGTGAGGCAGGAAGCCTTCTTGTATCTCCTTTGCTTGAGTTCTTCCTACCCTCCTTCTCGTGAGTAGGCAATTCTGAGAGTTCTGCACATATTCTAGAGACAAATTCTCCCTCGTCTTCATCAGATATGTGACTTGCAAATATTTTCTCCCATTCCATAGCTTGTGTTTTTATTCTCCTTATGTCATTCACAGAGCAAACACTTTTAATTTTGATGAAATCCAATGCATCAATTGTTTTCTTTTATGGATCATGTTTTTGCTGCCCTATGTAAGAGCTCTTTGCTAATGCAAGGTCACAAAGATTTTCTCTTGAAAGTTTTCTAGTTTCACATTTCAATCTCTGATACATTTTAAGTTAGTTGTTTGCATGGGAAAGATTAATTGTGCCCACATCATTTGTTGAAAAGACTACTTCTCTTCATTAAATTATCTTTGCACCTTCAAACAAACATCAGTTGCCCACATATGTATGGGTCTGTTTCTGGGCTTTTGTCTGCCCCATTGATCCATTTCTCTGTCCTTGCCAACAACACCCTGTCTTAATTACTGTAGTGTTATAGTGAGTTCCAAAATCCAGCGCTGTGAGCTCTTTAAATTTATTCTCCCCTCCCCCCCACTTGTGTTGGCTCTTCTGGTTCCTTTGCCTTTCCATATCAACTTTAGAATCTGCTTGTCTATATCTGCAAAAAATCCCTGTTGGGATCTGTATTGAAATCATGTTAAATCTATACATTAATTTGAAGAAAATTGTCATTGGGTCATCACTATATTGAGTCTTTCAAGCCATGAACATGGTGTATATCTCTCTATCATTTAGATTTTCTTTGACTTTTTTTTATTAGTGTTGTAGCTTCAGTATACAAACCTTGCATATTTTATTAGGCTTATTCCTAAGTATTTCAATTTTTGGAGCCAATTTAAGTGATATATATTATATTTATATATTTATATACCACTTTTTTTTCTTTTTAAAAAAATTTTTTTTATGTTTATTCATTTCTGAGACAGAGAGACACAGAGCATGAGAGGGGGAGGGGCAGAGAGAGAGGGAGACCCAGAATCGGAAGTAGGCTCCAGGTTCCGAGCTGTCAGCACAGAGCCTGACGCGGGGCTCGAACTCACAAACTGTGAGATCATGACCTGAGCTGAAGTCGGTCACTCAACCGACTGAGCCACCCAGGCACCCCTACCACTTTTTTTTTTTTTCCGAGAGAGTGTGTGAGTAGGGGAGGAGCTGAGGGAGAGATCTGAAAGAAAGTCTTAAGCAGGCTCCATGCCCAGTTGCAAAGCCCAACTCAAGGATCGATCCCATAACCCTGGGATCATGGCATGAGCTGAAATCAAGAGTCAGATGCTCAACCAACTGAGCCACCCAGGTGCCCTTAAGTGGTATATATTTTTTAAATTTCAAATTTCGATTTCCAATTGTTAATTAGTAGTCCATAGAAATATACTGAATTTCTATATGCTGACCTTGTATCATGAGACTTTGCTAAACTTCCTAATTAGTTCTGTGAACTTTTTTGTATATTCCTTGGGGTTTTCAATCTAGACAATCATGTCATTTTCAAATGGGGACAACTTGACTTCCTTCTTTGCAATCTGTATATACTTTATTTCTTTTTCTTGACTTATTGCACTGACTGGGACTTCTAATATGATGCTGAGTAGAAGTGATAAGAGTAGACATCACTGCCTTGCTCCTGATCTTAAGAGGAAAGAATTCAACTTTTATTATTGAGTGTGACATTAAGTGTGGGTTTTTGTAGGTGTCCTTCATCTATCAGGTAAAGGAAGTTCTCTTTTATTTCTAGATCATTGAGAATTTCTTCTTTTTTTAAAAATCATGAATCGATGCTGAATTTTGTCAAATGCCTTTTATCTGCATTAATTAATTAATTAATTAATTAATTAATGTGTGTTTTGTCTTATTAATATCTTTGATTACAGGGATTGATTTTTGCATATAGAAGCAGCCTTACTTTCTCAAGATAAACCCAATTGGCTCTAGTGTATCATTCTTACTATATATTACTGGAATTGATTTGCTAATATTTTGTTGAGGATTTTTGCATTTGTGTTTATGAAAGGTATTGTCTGTAGTTTTATTTGGTTATACAGTGTTTGTCTGGCTTTGATATCAGAGTAATGCTGACCTCATAAAATGAATGAGAAAGTGTTCTTTCCTCTTGAATTTTTTGGGAAAAAAAGGGTAGAATGGGTACTATTTCTACCCTAAATGTTTGGTAGGCTTTATTTTTCTTAAAAAGGATTGTCAAGTTTCAGGCCCCACAAAATCATTTGGGGCTTCGAGGGTGGGTTGTTCTTTGAAAATACGGTTTTCTGAGAATGTCACCAGAAGCAGCATGTGACTGTAGGCCCAGACAGCAAACCTGTTCAGCCTCCTGCCTCTTGTAGAAGTCACTGTTTTCTCATCCTAGCCAGTTTTTTTTTTTTTTTAACGTTTATTTATTTTTTTGGGACAGAGAGAGACAGAGCATGAACGGGGGAGGGGCAGAGAGAGAGGGAGACACAGAATCGGAAACAGGCTCCAGGCTCCGAGCCATCAGCCCAGAGCCCGACGCGGGGCTCGAACTCACGGACCGCGAGATCGTGACCTGGCTGAAGTCGGCCGCTTAACCGACTGCGCCACCCAGGCGCCCCTCATCCTAGCCAGTTTTAGGCAGAGCTATAGCTAACTCCTAGTGAGGCAACATAGTTTGGGTAAGACCATCTTCAATTTGCCTGAACTATGACTGGCTGTGTGCCTGGGGGGGAATCACCCCACCTCTCTGAGACTCAGATGTGCCAGATGGGAAAGAGAAGGTAACAAAGTATCTTCCCTCAAAGGGCTGGTGAAAAGGTGAGAATATGCTCAGAGAACTAGAAAGTTCTTCTGGAGGCAGATATGTGGAGCTTTGAACAATTCCATGGTTTACAAAGTAAGAGGAAGAAACAGAGCTGGGATAACCAGCGTGTGCTGAAGGAAGGACAGGAGGGGAGCACCTCGGGAGGCAGAATAGCTGCCCTCTGGGCCATCTGGTCTCCCAGGTAGTCTCACACACATTTGAGGCTTCTGCGACTCCCCGAGGGGGCATGTTTGCCTGCATTTATTTACTCAACATATCCTGAGATCCTACTCTAGCCCAGGCATTTGAAAGATGTGGAAACTGAGGCCCAAAGGGGTTAGGAGATGTTCTCCCCAAGGTAACACAGCCAGTGAAAGAACTGGAAGAGAACCCAGGTGGTCTGCTTTTCCACAGTAGTGAGGGGAACGAGTTGGACTAAGTTCAGAAGGAAAGAGGCAGACGGTCTGTCCCTGATCAGCACGTGGGTGGGAGCTAAGAGCACTGGTCCTGGAGCCAGACTGCCGGCTTGACGCCCTGCTCGACCACTTACCCAGCTGGGCAAACGGCAGAACAGAACCTCACTGCTGCAGTTTGCCGTCTGCAAAATGAGGCTCATACTGCATCTACCTCATAAGGTTGTTGTGAGGGTTAAACGAATTAAATGAATTCATAGGTACAAAATGCTCAGTACAGTGCCCAGCACATGAGTGTCACACAGACATCGGGTATTATTATTTATGAAGATGCTAGGGCACACTTCAGTTTCTCTGAAGCCACTCGGTTAAGAAAGGATAAAGTTGTGAAAACGTTGGCGGAAGCTTGAGGTCCTCGTCTGCCCTCTGCGGTGGTGAATGGCACAAGCTCCGCCTTGGGACGGACTTGCCCAAGGCCATGCAGGTCCTTCAGACTGTAGACCAAATCCGCCCAGCTTTATGAGCCCTCGCTCTATCATGACACACTTCCTCCCTGCTTTTAGACCCAAGCATTTCATGATCTGATGTTCTTGGGAGAGAGATGGCATGACAGGTGCCATCAGATGTGGAAACAAATCCGGGAAGAGACTTGGATGTCTTCTATCCTGAGCTAGTGTCCAGGGGATGGTGAGCTTTTGGAACCTGCCAGGCAAGTTGGGGGCAGGGGGTGGCGGGGATGAGGGTTTGGAGAAGCAGCAGCCCTCCTTGTGGGGATTTGGCACATCTGGCCCTGCTCTGGGCCTCGCCTGCGCCACCTGCACCCCAATGCTACTGCATGGAAGGGTGCAGGCCTTAGGAGGCTGCCTGCTGGGAATGAGATCACCTCGCGGAGCAGCGTTTCCCCCGTCGCTTAGGGTCTGGCGCCACCTTGTGGCCACAGGCCAAAGCTATCTTCGCACAGGGGCTGAAGCCTTAGCAGAGGCAGCTAACTTGGCCGGCCCCAGAGGTCACCTAGACCCCCTCTGGATTTTACAGGTACCCTCAGTTGCCTCTCGGGGACCCAGAGACTCAAGGACAGAGGAGAAGGGTCCAGGAGCCAGAAGGTGTGGAATAGGTAGAAGGCACTTGATTGGGAAATCCTGAACTGGATTCCATGACGCAGCTCCCATTACAGGGGGTTGAGGCTGTGTGAGCTGGTGTCTCAGGAGGCATGATTTCCAGATTTGGTTTTGGACTTGATCCTGGTGCACTCTGGGCTGCCAGCATCTGTTTGCTCATCAACATAGTGGGAGAGACTCTGGTTTTGCCCACTCCCACCCTTGTTTCTTCCCATCCCTTGCGATGTTCTCCCAGAAGAAAATTCAAGGCTGCTTTCTCTGGCAGACATTATTAGCTGAGTCAGCATGTCCTGGGCTCATTGCCTTCCATTTCCATGGGCATGATGGGGCACAGGGGCCTGTGGCTTGGGGAAAATGGAGATGGGGGCACACATCAAGTGCTCCTTTTGCCCTAGCAGGACAGAGCTAGGTGAATCTGAGTGTTGACGTGACCCTGCCCTGGGACTGGAACGCGTAGGCTTGGCTCTGCAATTTAATCATTCCTCCATCTTGTGAGGCTGGGAGAAGCAGAGTCTGTGGTCTGAGTGTACCCCTGAGAGAGTATAAATTTGTGATCTGGTCCCTGTAAAAGACTCCCTGTGAGAGTCTGTGGCCTATGGATTGTGTGTTATAGCTGCCACATGTGGGTAGAGCTCAGATTTGGGTCATGGAGGCCACATCTGACCTGTGAGACCCAAGGCACCAAGGCTTCACTAGGCACATGGCCATTCTGGGTGCTGTGTGGAGTTTCTAGACTCACAGCCCTGACCTCAGCCAGTGCACCTTTGTCCTCCACTGCTCTGCCTTCCCAGGCCACCATCAGATCCGACCAATTTGACCCTTTCCTCCACCCTTGCTCCTCAACCCCTCCCAGACTACTTGTGACCATATCTCTTTACAGCAAACCCTCCCCTGCCCAAATATATCTTTGCCATGACTTCTTGAAGTTGGTCTTCTCCTTCAGGCCCAAAATTGTGACACTGCTTTCCTCTCCTTCCTCTCTCTCTTTGTGTTCCCTCTCACATCTCTCTTTCTCTCTTTCTGTATTTCTTCTCTGTGTGTATGTGCTTTTCTGTCTCTGTATCTCTCTGTGTCTCTCTGTCTGGCTCTGTGTCTCTGTGCCTCTGTCTGTCTCTCTCTCTCTCTCTGTCTCTCTGTGTGTGTGTGTGTCTCCCTGTCTCACTCTCTGTCTCTTTGTCTCTCTGTCAGTGACCCCGTAGCTTTACAACAATGTCCCTGACCTTTTCCAAGCCTCCCGCCTCATCCCTTGATTTTGGGAAAATGACTCATGGGCCATACCACAGATAGTAAGTGCCAGAATCTGTAACAGAACCAGAATTTGATGCTTTACTTCACTTGAGCCTCAGTTTTTCCCATGAGTTAAATGACAATAACCAGACCTGCCCCACGAGGCATGGCAGGGACTCCAGCAGATGGCTGGCCTTCCGCACCTGCCCTTCTCACACTGGCCCCACCCCAGCGCCTTCCTGCCTTTGAGTCCTCACCCCCAGGCTTCCCCGCTTTAGCCTTCAGCAGGACTGTTGCTCTGCTCACTGTGGGGAGCGCATCTGGAGGGAAATAAGGTGTCCATCCCAGCTTCCCAGGGTGGGTCTCTTCAGAGATACCATCACCCAAAGGCTCTTAGGAATCTAGAGAGGCAGACATAGTATTACTCATCTGGTGTGGGATGGGTGCCCCTTGTTGCCAGCGTGTTTGTTGTAGGTCACACCAATGGTTCAGTGGGGCTGCTTTGTGTCCCAATGCACAGTTTAGGGGACCCTGGAGCCTTTGTTCATTGAGGAGTCCAGTACATGGCTAATGGTCAGGAGGGAGACCCACCATTTTGGAATCAGAGAGGAGCATCACTTTACAGTTTTAAACTATTTTATAAATGCATGCTTTTGCATCTTTGCTTCTAAAATGTGAGCTTCTGTAACATCGATATAAGGTCTTGAATGCCCTGCTCCTCCCATTGCTCCGGGGAAATTCAGAGCCCCTCTTAGTGACTGGCTTTATGAAGCTCTTCACAAATTTGCTGCACATGTGGGCATGGACTACCTTCACAGTATTGTGACAGTGTTGTCCCACCAGGACGCCTCAGCCTTGCAGGACAGGAGTCCTTCTACAGGACAGTCTTCCTTCTACATCCATAGGCACTGAGGCAATGGTGTGAACAAAACACAAGCTCCCGTGCTCCAGGAGAGACAGAAAAGACACAAGAAAGGAGTGGAGAGAGAGTGGGAGGTGGGGCTGGAGGGGCAGGCAGGGCCTCATGAGCCATGCGAGACATTTGGATCTAAGCATTCTAAGCATTATGGGAAGCCGTGGGAGGGTTGGAAGAAGCTTGGGGATGACTGATTGCACTTATGATTTTCAAAAAGCACCTTGGCTGCCGTGTGAAGAAAGGGTTGTTCTGGGGCAAGAGTGGACCCCAGGAGACCAGTTAGGGGGCTTCTGCTTCAATTCAGGCAAGAGGGGTGATGGCAGAGACCAGGCTGGGGGTGGTGATTGGGGTAGAGAGAAGGGACTGCCTGGTAGCCCCAAGTAGGCACCTGACAGTGCTTGAAGACAACAGGCACTACGGATTGTGTCAACCATGCTCTCTCGACCCCTATGATGCAGGCTAGTGTTTTAAAGGGTGCAGTGATATGCATTCCCAGGGAACAATCAAGGTCACACATGTGCTTCTGTCTGTTGGCCGTGGCCCTTGGTTTATGGTTCATGTTCTTGATCTTAACTGGGCCTGCAAAACCGTGCTTCCTGAACCTCACTCTTGCCCTGGCCCTACTGGCCTCTCTGGCCCAGGCTCAGCCTCAGAGACCGCTGGATGACTTAGATGTATCTTTAATCCGCCCCTTGACTGTGGTTTAAAGACAGCTTCCTAAAGTTCAGGTATAAGTGAGGAACGGGGACGCAGGATGCATGTCCACCACACACATTATCTCCTTGATCTCCCCGCCAGCCCCGTGATGCTATGATTCTTTTCCCCATGTTAGAGAAGGGTAACAAGGACACAGAGTTGGAGTAATTAGTCCAAGATCCCACAATTAACAAATGACAGAGTCCGCATTTGAATCCAGAGCCCATATCCTCCCCCTACACCCACTTTCTTTGCTGATGGAGCAGGGTCAGTACAGGGTCAGAATGACTGTGTCCTGTGTCACCCTTGGACAAAGGCTCCATTGCAGCTTCTGTGGCTCCCTAGTGTAGAGCTCAAACTTTGGTGTCCGGCAGTCTGGAGCCAGCTCCCATTCGGTTCACCATCCAGCTATGCAGCCTGTACAGGTGTGGTGCAGTGGTTCCCCATGTGTCTTACATAGGAATTACACCTGCGGGTCACCTGGGACCCTGGAAACATGCGGCCAGCCAGCCAGTGGTACTTCGTAGGAGCCTCACAAATGCTGACTCCCTTCCCTTCCTCACCCAGAGAGGGTGCAGGACTGTGCAGAAGAGGTGAATATCTGCTGGAATGTTCCCCCTGGGGTTTTGAACGTGAGAAAGGTCATGCGTCCTCTGAGCTCACCTATGATGCTTCACTGGCTGGCCCCGGGAGATCATCTGGTCCCACTCTTTCATTCTCTTTTTTTTTTTTTTTTTGATGAGCAAACCAAGACCAGGAAGGGGAGAACTTGTGTACGACCCCTTCCCTGGCCTGTCCCCCTCCACTCCCAATCCCTTCACTCCAAAGCCTTAGCACCTTGTCTGTGGTCTGGAAAAAACCCTGGTCCAAGCATTTGGAAAACTTCACAGCAAAGGAGGGGACATCGGCACAGGCAAGCCTTGGTTTTGGGGAATGGCATGACCCTTCTGCATTCCCTGCTCCCACCCACGCTCTGTGTGTTCTGTCCTGTTCTCTCGGCAGGTATATCCGCACCATGTACCTGGGGATTCAGAGCCAGCGGCAGAAGGAACACCAGCGACGCTTCTACTGGGCTATGATGTATGAATATGCAGACGTCAACATGTTGCGCCTCCTTGAGACCTTCCTGGAGAGCGCCCCCCAACTGGTGCTACAGCTCTGCATAATGATCCAGAAGAACAGCGCCGAGACGCTGCCCTGTGAGTGTCCCACACCCACCCCCCATGGAAGGCTGGGGGAATGACCTGGGCTGGGACAGGGCTCTGCCCTCTGTCTGGGGACCACTTGGTGACTGCCACCTGCACACTCAGTGCTTGGCACATTCTGTGGGCATTGCCCATCCTGATCCCCGAGTCTCCACCTTGCCCAGGCCCCCATGTGATGCTGACCCAGCCCACACCAAAAGCACATGAGTGGCACAGATGTTCCCCATACACCCATGTGCCAGCTGCCCTGCTCAAGACCTTATGTTCTCATGAACAGAGCAGAGCCAGGGGCTCAAATGTCCCTGGGAGCAGCAGAACAGATAGTTCTGTGTCTCCCAATCTGGGAGGAGTGCCTCCTTTTCTTTGGTGCTGGCCTGAGCTGAAGTGTTGCACATACACAGGATGGGGGAGTCAGCCTAATACTAAATCACAATAGGCAACACCAGCGATTTTAGACATTTGTAAGCTGTGGTGCTACTGCTTGAAATCAAAGTTTATGTAGCAGCCCCATTTTAAAACATGCTCAAATAGCTCTGCTTTAGTTAGATGGGGATGGGGATCCAGAGCCAGGCGCACCCCACCCACTTCCCTCATGTCCCCTGTGGCCCGAGATGGTCTCCAAGGAGCCCCAGAAGCCCCCAGAGCCCAGTGGGATAGCACTGATATCTGCAGCAGTGGGAAGTCTCTAGGCACCTCCTGGTTGCCTGAGAAACCCTTCTGAGGTTAGACTTTGTTGGCCAAGGCAACACCAGGTCACCGATGGTCAGACAGACTGCAAGCAGCATGGCTGTGTCTCAGAGCATGTTTCAGAGGGACTGGAGCTCCAGTAGGTCTAGGATGAGGAGGGGCTGAAGATCCCATCATGTGGGGGACACTGGAAATGTCTAGTTTAAGGAAGACTTGGGATGCAAGAATCCCAACATTTGAAGGGGAATGAATGGCCATCCTAAAGGGATGGAGGGAGCTATAGGGAGAGTGTTACTGATGCAACATGTGGCAGATATTTCAAACAGCAGGAGCTGTTCAGTGGTGGAAAGAGTGTCTCAGCAGGTAGTGAGTTTCCTGACACTAGGAATATTCAAGCAGAAATGTTGCTGAGAAGACTCAGCCCAGAGGTTCCTGACTCCACACCCTCCCACCTTACACCTTGTGGTCTGTCAAGAGCAGCCAAGCTCTGGCCTTCGTGAAACAGCTTTGCCTCCTGACTTTTTCCAGACTGGCCAGTCCTTGGGAATGTCCAGTTCCCTGGTCACTTGTGCGGAAAAGGAGTTTAATCTTCCAAGGCCAGCCAGAGAACATTGAGCTGTTCAGCTTGTGAACTCATTCCTGACATTTAGAGCCCAAGCACCTAGTTCTGAGCCCAACTGCACTGCCAACAGACACCCCCAACCCTATGGGAGCTTGGCTCCCTGATGAAGCCTCCTACCCACCCCAAATCAGCATAACCCCAGCTGGAAGTGCCCCCAAGGGAAAGAGGCCTCAGGGCAGATCCCTCTGTCCCACAGAGCACCGGCTGCAGTCTTGTGAATCCCTCATGGAGGCAAGGAGAAGGGGGAATGTGGGAAACTTTGGGGGGCAGTGCCCACTGTTAGAAGGAGGCACCACCCAGCCCCTGGGCATCAGCTGTTTGGAGCCAGGGTCCAGTGGAGTTTGCAGCACCAGTGACCTGTCCTGGAGAAGAGCTGGAAGGAGCTAAATAGACGTCTAGCTCCACTGGGGCATCTGGACACTGAGCAGGAAGCCGTGGTGAGGGAGGCAGGGCTGGCAGTCCGTCTGGCCTGTCCCTTCTCTTTTGGATAGACTCCCATTCATATGCACACACACTGCCACTGGCATCGGAAAAAACTAGGAAACATGGAGACCTTGTCTTCAGGGTGCCCGCGGAGCCAGGCCATCTGCTTAGGCAATGATCTGTTGTGACTGCCCACGCCGAGGCCCCGGGAGCCCCTGCTTCTCTGAACCTTGGAGAAAAGTGTGCATCATTTAGAGAGCGCCATTTGTTTCAGGACCAAGAGAACCACTCAGGGGTTGATTCTGGAAGAACACCAGTGTCGCAGGGTCTGATGTGCACAGCCTTGCTCTGCAAGTCTTGAGGGAGTCCTCATGGAACCCTGATGATGGGCTGAGGTGCCCAGTGATAGGCACAGTGACCCTGCCTGCTCTCTGGAGCCCCCATACCCAGACTGCCCTCCATCCATGGGCTGTACCTCCCCAGATCAGGGCAACATGCTCCGGGGGACAGATTTGCTGGGGGACTGGGGAAGGCCTCTTTCTCTCCCATCCGATTCCTCCTTTTTCCAACTCTGTTGCCGAGACCCCAATCTAAACCGTCCTTTGCTGTTTTGGTTGTTCAGATCTCCTCCCAACCCCCAGAATCACCAGGGAAGCAAAGTTATCCTTCTTGCACCCTTCGCCACATCCAGGCACCGCAAATAGATGGGACAGGTGGCAGGGTGATGTACGGGGTGAGTTCCTGATAGGACATTCGTCCCAGACCAAGATCCTGGTCACCACTTATACCCTGGTATGATTTTGGACCTTGCCCTTCACCTTATCAAGGCCTCCTTTTCTGTTTGGTGTAATGAAGGAGGTGACAGCACTACCTAATATTTAGGGAGGATGCAATAATGTAATGCATGTAGATCATTTTGTAAACTGTCAAGCTCCAAGGGCACCTAAGGGTGTGTGTTTGTCATTTCCAGAGGCTCGTGGTGAGTGGCGTGGGCGAGATCCTAGAGAGATCTCCACCCCACCCCTTTTGGCTCTGTGGGTCATCCCTGTCCCAGCCTCCTTGCTGAGACTGCCCTTTCTATGATAGCTGCTCATATTATAAACACAGAGAAGCTGATGTGAAATCCCTGGAGAAGAAACTCAAGGGGCAGTAGATGTTGCTCCCTAAGAGCCCTCTTGATGTGGGAGTCCCATGGGGCCAAGTCCGTGAAGGCCAAGAGGCTGCTTAGTTGTGCTGCCATAAGCAGGCACCCTGGGAGAGGAGCTGGAGTGACGAGGGTCAGGCTGCTGTGGGGCTTTTGCCCTAGGGAAGCTGTCCCTGGCTTTTTCTCCCACACACCCCTCTTTTAGAGTGAGCAGCTCACTCAGAGGTCAGGCAAGCATTCCCCCACATTTGTTTGGTATGTGGAATAGGTGTTTCTCCAAACAAGCTTTTGTGGTTAAATACATTTGGGAACTGCTGGGCTAAACAAAGGTCAGTGGCAATCTTTGCTGTTGGAATGTGATTTCCCAAGACAAGGATGGGGTCTGTACCATTAGCTGGATTGATGGGAAGGAAGGAAACCTGCCCTCACTGAGCACAGACTGCAGGGGGCTTGGCATTTCCCTCTTACTTAACTTGTAGAACATCTGCTCATCACTGGACCATTTTGTTTGGAAATAGATGCCTACCTTCTTTTTTCCCATAAAAAGCTGTATGAAATGTACACACATTAAAGAAAGTCTGTTACCCTGGGAGGGACATGGTGACATGGAATCTTCCAGCCATGTGACTGCTTAGAGCATGGCAGCATAGAAAGATGCGGGTGACTCCCATGCTGATATCTGATAGCTGTTTGATCTGTGGAGAGTTACTGAGCCTTTCTGTTCCTGAGCTTTCCTGTTTCTTAAATGGGGATAATATTAGTACCTACCACAAAAAGTTGTTATGAGCATTTGATGACATGACCAATATCATGCCAGGTACAACACCTGGCCATTTTGTTGGTGGTGGGAGAACTTTTATTGTAGATACACTTCCTGAATTGGACTACAAGCTGTACTGGTGGGATCCATGGCTAATTGGCCTTGCTTTGTGGGCTTTGATGACATAGCTGCCCATTTACACTGTTAATACTAGTAAATGGTTAGGAAGACCGTTGCCACTGCCACTTTATTTTTTTAATGTTTATTTTATTGTATTTTGAGAAAGAGAGAGAGACAGAGAGAGTTGGGGAAGGGCAGAGAAAGAGGGAGAAAGAGAATCCCAGGCAGGCTCCACGCTGTCAGCACGGAGCCTAATGCAGGGCTTGAACTCATGCACCGTGAGATCATGACCTGAGCTGAAACCAAGAGTCAGATGCTTAACCAACTGAGTCACCCAGGTGCCCCACCACTATCACTTTAATATGCGAGTTCTCCACTGATCTTGCCAAATGCCAACCTTTCCCAACCTTTCCCATCTCTCCACCTTGTGGCCCTCACTTATTGCTGGGCTAACCCTGTGGTATTCAGCCTGCAAGATGGATTGTATCCAATTTCCCCAGAAGACCACATTCAAGTGAAAAATATGGTAATAATAAACAATCATACAAATATTATGCTGAAGTCACTTGAGCATCTCAGCAGGGTTTCCTTAAATCTGATGTTTTGAAAGTTTGAGTAAAGATAAAAAGCTTATTCTGATATGTCATCTACATTGGTGGTGACATTGTAGTGTCTGCTGAAAGCTTTGCCAGTATTCTAGGTAGGGCCAGGGTTTGGAAAGCAGTTGGCGGGGCAGGAAAAGTGAGACAGAGTGTCAATACCACCATCCACCACTTACTGCCTTTATGGCCTGGGGCAAATTCATTTCCTACCTGGGCCTCTTGCTCCATAAAATGTGAATAGAAGCTACCTTTGGGGTGTCGTAAAGGTCTAATGAGCTGCACATACACTCCTACAGCACCTTGCTTGCCATGTGGTGGGCACTTGATATGATCCACCGTTCCACAAAAATGCGTCAGGTCAACTGCGATACTATGTGCTGAGGGGCAGCAGGGAACAGAACCGACACAGACCCTCTCCTCACGAAAGTCTTATTTTTCTGAGCAGACAGAACAAAAACAATGGGACCGATGACACATGTTAAGTGCTTTGAAGCAAACAAACCTAGTGCTGAGACCACAGATAATGTGGTGAGGGGTGGAGAGAGCTTACTTTGGGCAGGAGCGTCAGGGAAAGCCTCTCCAGGGATCTGATGTTTAGGCTGAGTATAAGCAAAGAGAAGGAGCCACCTGTGGGAA